TGTTGTGCGTCTGTGTGTGTTGTTACTTTGACAAACTTGTCTGTGGGGGAGAAGCAGCCGACACACAGTGAGAGGAGGATCCATCCTCGGGCGTGACTGCTCCTCGACGGGTTCTGACCCAACTGTTTACAGATCTGACAGTAGATCTCATCCCTGAACACAACAAACACACAACAATAAACACACAACACACAACACACACACAACACGACAACACACAACAACACACAACACACAACAACACAATAAACACACAACAACACACACACAACAACACAACAACACACAACACAACACAAACAACACAACACAACAGATCTGACAGTAGATCTCATCCCTGAACACAACACAACACACAAAAACACACAACAACAAACACAATAACACAACACAACACACAACACACACAACAACACAACAACACAACAACACAACACACACACACACACAACACAACAACACACAACAACACGACAACAACACAACAACACACACAAACACACAACAACACAACACACACACAACAACAACAACACAACACAACAGATCTGACAGTAGATCTCATCCCTGAAACACAAACACAACAACAACAAACAACAACACACAATAAACACAATACAACACACAACACACACAACACACAACACACAACAACACAACAACACAACAACACAACACACAACAACACACAATACAAAACACACAACAACACACACAACACACAACAACACAACACACACAACACACACACACAAACAACAACAAACAACACAACAGATCTGACAGTAGATCTCATCCCTGAACACAACACAACAACACAATACAATAAACACACAACAACACACACACACAACAACACACACACACAACACACAACAACACACAACAACACAATAAACACACAACAACACAACACACAACACAACACAACAGATCTGACAGTAGATCTCATCCCTGAACACAACACAACAACAACACAACAATAAAGACACAACACACAACACACACACACAAACAACACAACAACACAACACACAACAACACAACAATAAACACACAACAACACACAACACAACACAATAAACACACAACACACAACACAACACAATAAACACACAACACACAACACACACAACACAACAGATCTGACAGTAGATCTCATCCCTGAACACAACACAACAACACAACAATAAACACACAACACACAACACAACACACACACACAACACACAACAACACAACAATACACAAATATACAACAACACAACACACACAAACACACACACAAATACAGCTACACTGGTGATATCCAGCTCTATGTCGCTGTGTCTCCTGATGACCTGAGTCCGACTGACTTGACTCTTTTTAACTGCATTTTAGATATTAAGTCCTGATGGCAGCAAACTTCCTCCAGCTCAAGGGGACTGACCTGAGTGCCGGGCGGAGGGACTGACCTGAGCGCCGGGGGGACTGACCTGAGCGCCGGGCGGAGGACTGACCTGACCGGCGACTGGGCGGAGGGACTGACCTGAGCGCCGGGCGGAGGGACTGACCTGAGCGCCGGGCGCAGGGACTGACCTGAGCGCCGGGCGCAGGGACTGACCTGAGCGCCGGGCGGAGGGACTGACCTGAGCGCCGGGCGGAGGGACTGACCTGAGCGCCGGAGGGACTGACCTGAGCGCCGGGCGCAGGGACTGACCTGAGCGCCGGGCGCAGGGACTGACCTGAGCGCCGGGCGCAGGGACTGACCTGAGCGCCGGGCGGAGGGACTGACCTGAGCGCCGGGCGCAGGGACTGACCTGAGCGCCGGGCGGAGGACTGACTGAGCGCCGGGCGCTGGGACTGACCTGAGCGCCGGGCGGAGGGACTGACCTGAGCGCCGGGCGGAGGGACTGACCTGAGCGCCGGGCGGAGGGACTGACCTGAGCGCCGGGCGGAGGGACTGACCTGAGTGCCGGGCGCAGGATTCCGTTGCCGATGATGAAGTGGAGTTTTTCCAGGTTGGACGTGGGTCTTTCCTCCAACATGCTGTTTCCATGGAGACCGTAGTCCCCCTCGCGCAGCTGCCGGCTCACCTGCGCACAGAGGCCCACTCAGACTCAGACTCAGACTCAGACTCAGACTTAAACTCAGACTTAGACTCAGACTCAGACTTAGACTCAGACTCAGACTTAGACTTAGACTCAGACTCAGACTCAGACTCAGACTCAGACTCAGACTAAACTTAAACTTAAACTTAAACTTAAACTTAAACTCAGACTCAGACTCAGACTTAAACTTAAACTCAAACTCAAACTCAAACTCAAACTCAAACTCAGACTCAGACTTAAACTTAGACTCAGACTCAGACTCAGACTCAGACTCAGACTTAGACTCAGACTCAGACTCAGACTTAAACTTAAACTCAAACTCAAACTCAAACTCAAACTCAACTCAGACTTAAACTTAGACTCAGACTCAGACTCAGACTCAGACTTAGACTCAGACTCAGACTCAGACTCAGACTCAGACTCAGACTCAAACTTAAACTTAAACTTAAACTTAAACTCAAACTCAAACTCAAACTCAAACTCAGATTCAGACTCAAACTCAGACTTAGACTTAAACTCAGACTTAGACTCAGACTCAGACTTAAACTCAGACTTAGACTTAAACTCAGACTTAGACTCAGACTTAAACTCAGACTTAGACTTAAACTCAGACTTAGACTCAGACTCAGACTTAAACTTAGACTTAAACTCAGACTCAAACTTAAACTTAAACTTAAACTCAGACTCAGACTCAGACTCAGACTCAGACTCAGACTCAGACTTAGACTCAGACCTAGACTCAGACTTAAATACTTAAATACTTAAGTGGATAATTTTACTTTTACTCGAGTAACTTTTGCCCCTGTATCTGTACTTTTACTCAAGTAACAAAACTGAGTACTTCATCTGTGACTGCGTCGCTGTGGGGGTGTTCTACATGTTTGTGTTTGTATCTGCGGTGATACTTGATGATGTTTGTGTGTGTTTGCTGATGTGTGCGTTCTGTCCGTAGACATGCAGGTAGAACCCCCAGAGCGAGGCCAGAGCAGCGTGTGAGTGACAGGAGCGGACGAACCTCCTCTGTGATCTTGGATTTCTTCTTGAGCGTGAGGGAGATGAGTTTGTGTCGCACGCTGTTCCTCTTCTGTCCGTCCGAAGAGCTGACGGGAGACTAAAAGACAAATGGAAAAAAACAAACAAATGAAAAAAAAAATTTAAAAAAAGACAAATTAAAAAAAAAAAAAAAAAAAGAAAATGGAAAAAAACAAACAAAAAGACAAATGAAAAAAAAAAAAAAAAAAAAAAAAGACAAATGAATTTTTTTTTTTTTAAACAACTATTTTCTTTATTATTTGTCTCCAAAACCAAAATGAAAAAACAGATAAAGATTCGTTTTTTTAGTTTTTGATTTTGTGTTTAAATGAAAAATGGAAAAAATGGATAACGGACTAAACCAGGACTAAACCAGGTCTAAACCAGGTCTAAACCAGGACTAAACCAGGTCTAAACCAGGTCTAAACCAGGACTAAACCAGGACTAAACCAGGACTAAACCAGGACTAAACCAGGTCTAAACCAGGTCTAAACCAGGACTAAACCAGGACTAAACCAGGACTAAACCAGGTCTAAACCAGGACTAAACCAGGAACTAAACCAGGTCTAAACCAGGTCTAAACCAGGTCTAAACCAGGACTAAACCAGGACTAAACCAGGACTAAACCAGGTCTAAACCAGGTCTAAACCAGGACTAAACCAGGTAAACCAGGACTAAACCAGGACTAAACCAGGAGTATCAGAACAGGCCCAGAGGTGCACCCAAGAAGACTGTCGGGTGATCAGGACTGAATGTGTAAAAAAATTTTATAAATTTTTAAAATAAAAATTATATAAAGAAAAATTGTGTAAAAAAAGGTTATAAAAAAGGTGTAAAAATGTGTTGTTTTTTTTTTTTGTTTTTTATAAAAAAAAATTATATAAAAAAAAAGTTATAATTTTTTTATTTATTTATTATATACAAAAATTTTATCTAAAAATGTATTGCTTTAAAAAAAAATGTTTTATTAATAATGGTTATATATATAGACCACGACCAGGACCAGGACTGAGACCAGTTCAGTCCTGGTTTAGTCCTGGTTCAGTCCAGCATCGCAGTTTAAGTCACGGAAACAGGAAACGGGCGGTTTTTCCATTTTTCATTTAAACTTAAAATCAAAAACTGAAAAAAAAGAATAATTATCTGATTTTTTTCATTTTGGTTTTGGACACAAATAATGAAGTCCTCACTGAGCTTCATTTGACTGAACGCTACGGTGACGTCACTCGCTCTTCGTCTTCAGTCTGGAGATGTTCTTACCAAGTCTTCAGTCTGAGATGTTCTTACCGTGAGCTCCTCTTCTTCAGTCTGGAGATGTTCTTTGAAGTCGTTCTTACCGTGAGCTCTTCTTCAGTCTGGAGATGTTCTTACCGTGAGCCTCTTCTCTCAGTCTGGAGATGTTCTTGAGTCTCTCAGTCTTTTCTTTCTGGAGATGTTCTTCGTGAGCTCCTCCTCGTCTTCAGTCTGGTGATGTTCTTACCGTGACTCGTGAGCTCTTCTTCTTCTTCAGTCTGGAGATGTTCTTACCGTGAGCTCTTCTTCTTCTTCAGTCTGGTGATGTTCTTACCGTGAGCTCCTCCTCTCGTCTTCAGTCTGGAGATGTTCTTACCGTGAGCTCCTCCTCCTCGTCTTCAGTCTGGTGATGTTCTTACCGTGAGCTCCTCCTCGTCTTCAGTCTGGAGATGTTCTTACCGTGAGCTCCTCCTCGTCTTCAGTCTGGTGATGTTCTTACCGTGAGCTCCTCCTCGTCTTCAGTCTGGAGATGTTCTTACCGTGAGCTCCTCCTCCTCGTCTTCAGTCTGGAGATGTTCTTACCGTGAGCTCCTCCTCTCTTCAGTCTGATGTTCTTACCGTGAGCTCCTCCTCCTCTTCAGTCTGGAGATGTTCTTACCGTGAGCTCCTCCTCCTCGTCTTCAGTCTGGAGATGTTCTTACCGTGAGCTCTTCTTCTTCTTCAGTCTGGTGATGTTCTTACCGTGAGCTCTTCTTCTTCTTCAGTCTGGAGATGTTCTTACCGTGAGCTCCTCCTCTCTTCAGTCTGGTGATGTTCTTACCGTGAGCTCCTCCTCCTCGTCTTCAGTCTGGAGATGTTCTTACCGTGAGCTCTTCTTCTTCTTCAGTCTGGAGATGTTCTTACCGTGAGCTCCTCCTCGTCTTCAGTCTGGAGATGTTCTTACCGTGAGCTCGTCCTCCACCTGCAGCTCCTGGAGTTCTCTCTTGTAGCTGCGTTTGCCCAGAGTCTCGTAGATCTTGGTCATGACGGGGATCTTCTCGCTGCCGTCGTTGAGGACGAGCTGACACTTGGGCTCGGGCAGGTCTCCCATGAAGCGCAGGACGGTGATCCACACGGCCAAAGCCGCCTGCCCACAGGAGAAGAACAGACGACGGGTTAGACTCCACACGTTTCACTCAACGGTTCAGACCCACAGCAAACTGGACTTTCAGAACTTTAACCGTTTTACACGAGAGTTTCTCCACACCGACCATCTCCAGTTTGTCCTGCAGGTTTGACTCATTTTTATTAATCGGTTATTTTCAAGACGGCATTTTGAAAGGTCTGCACCTGGTTTAGTCCTGGTTTAGACCTGGTTTAGTCCTGATTTAGTCCTGGTTTAGACCTGGTTTAGTCCTTGTTCAGTCCTGGTTTAGATCTGATTTAGTCCTGGTTCAGTCCTTGTTTAGTCCTGTTTTAGTCCTGGTTTAGACCTGGTTTAGTCCTAGTCTTGGTTTAGTTCTGGTTTAGACCTGGTTTAGTCCTAGTTCAGTCCTGGTTTAGATCTGATTTAATCCTGGTTTAGACCAGTTTTAGTCCTGGTTTAGTCCTGATTTAGTTCTGGTTTAGTCCTGAATAAGACCTGAATTAGTCCTGGTTTAGACCTGGTTTAGTTCCTAGTCTTGGTTCAGTCCTGGTTTAGACCTGGTTTAGTCCTAGTCTTGGTTTAGTCCTGGTTTAGACCTGGTTTAGTCCTAGTTCAGTCCTGGTTTAGATCTGATTTAATCCTGGTTTAGACCTGGTTTAAACCAGATTTAGTCCTGGTTTAGTCCTTTAGAGTCCTGGTTTAGATCTGATTTAATCCTGGTTTAGACCTGGTTTTAGACCTGGTTTAGTCCTGGTTTAGTTCTGGTTTAGTCCGTTATCCATTTTTTCCATTTTTCATTTAAACACAAAATCGAAAACTGAAAAAAACGAATCTTTATCTTTTTTTTTTCATTTTGGTTTTGGAGACAAATAATGAAGAAAATCGTCGTTTTTTTTTTTCTTATTTTCTTATTTTTTGATTTCGTATTGTCTCCTGTGACATGAGGAGCTTCTCGGCGGAGGACAGACGTCTCCTCGCCGGACGCCGGACGCCGGACGCCGGACGTCGTACCAGCTGGTCGCCCTCGTCCTGGTGGAAGAGCAGCGGCTGTTTCAGGGGCCTCCGGATGTAGGTGTGGGTGGACACGCCCTGGAAGTACGTGGCGGCGAACTTGGAGAACTTGTAGTCGGACAGATCTTCGTCCTCGTCGGCGGGAAGGGGAGGGGCCTCGTCCAGAAGCTCCTCCTCCTCCTCCTCGGCCTCGGCCAGACGGGGCTTCAGCAGGTCCTGAGGAGACAGAGGAGTTTCAGGTCAAAATGTTTACGTTTGAGGGACAATTTCCTCCTAAGAAACAAGACCAAAGAAACCACCAGACCCAAGAAACAACCAGAAGAAACCACCAGAAGAAACCACCAGAAGAAACCACCAGAAGAAACCACCAGACCCAAGAAACAACCAAAAGAAACAACCAGAAGAAACCACCAGACCCAAGAAACAACCAGAAGAAACCACCAGAAGAAACCACCAGAAGAAACCACCAGAAGAAACCACCAGACCCAAGAAACAACCAGAAGAAACAACCAGAAGAAACCACCAGACCCAAGAAACCACCAGAAGAAACCACCAGAACCAAGAAACCACCAGAAGAAACCACCAGAAGAAACCACCAGACCCAAGAAACCACCAGAAGAAACCACCAGAAGAAACCACCAGAAGAAACCACCAGAACCAAGAAACAACCAGAAGAAACCACCAGACCCAAGAAACCACCAGAAGAAACCACCAGAAGAAACCACCAGACCCAAGAAACAACCAGAAGAAACCACCAGACCCAAGAAACCACCAGAAGAAACCACCAGAAGAAAGCACCAGATGAACCTGTGGTCCACACACTGAGTGGCGTGTGCAATAATGAGAACAGTGCAATACAGTTTTGCTTGTTTGTTTTTGTGCATCAGATTCTTCACACACACTGGCCACGTGCACATGATGTTTTTAAATTCCAATTTATTTATTCTGAATTAATTAATTTGGAATTAAATGATCCTCCTGTGAGTTTACACGGAAAACATGTTCAATCAGCTTTGTTTAATTCCACCCAGCGTCTGATTGGTCAGGGACACGAACGCGTTTACGTCGACCAGAAGAAAAGACACAGTTGAGCTGCTCCCGGCTTTTTAATCGTCTTGGTTTGTTTTTCCATGTGACATGCAGCACGTACAGGGTCCAAACCCAGACTCCTGACCCAGCGGGAGCAGCTCCGGTTCAGGTCGGAGCAGATGAGCCTCGGCCTGAGAAGAACTTTCCCCGGGAAGAACCACGAGCGCGAAGGACGGACGCTCAGAACAACAAATAATGAACCAAACGAGACTCACGCTTCTGTCTGGAAGCAGCTGCCGTCCTGGAGCTCGGAGGACAGCAGCTGCCTCCGTGTTCTCAGTCTGGACCAACCGCACCAACACGAGACCGAGGACGGACTGCTCGCTGTGGAGATCTCAGAGTTTCTGCTCCGGGCTGTTTTATGAGTTCATGATGACGACTCGAAGTGTTAACGGAAACAGACGGACGGGGAAACAAACGTGATACAAACTTTTTTCGCCACATCGCCGTGAGTCATCGCGTCAGAAGTTTGATCCAACGAGCTGAACGACCGGAATGATTGTTTAAGCAGAAAAAACGTTTATATGATCATCAAAATCAGAACAAACCACCCACTTCATTCGGATTTAAGTTTAATTCCAAATAAATTTAATTCCAAATAATCATTAGGAATTAAGGGTTTACATCATCTTTTTAAAGTGGAATACATTTCTATTCTGAATTAAATTATTTTGAATCAGAATTAAATCTCTCATGTAAACGGGGCAACTGTTGGTTTTGGAGAAAGTTAAAGGATGTTTGCTTTATAGTTTTTATATGTACAATGTTGTGTCAGATGAAACATCTGTAATAAACTCTGTACCTCAAATGCTGCTGGTGCTTCTCCGTCCTGATTGGTCAGTGGTCCGGCGTTGCCCAGGAAACCGAACATGCGGTCCACCATGTCGGAGTCGTCCACGGGCTGGTCTCTGTCCCGCTCCACCTGCTCCAGCAGCTCCTTCTTCCTGCGCGCCTCCTCTCGGTCCTCGCGGGCCTGGTCCTCCCTCTGCTGCTCCAGAAGCTCCAGACGCTCCAGATGTTTCCTCTGAGCCTCGGCTTTGGCTCTTCGAGCCGTCATCAGGTTCTTCAGGTGCTCCTCCTCCTCCAGACGCTCAAGCTCCGCCTCCACACGCTTCTGACGCTGCGGGACACGAGAGGACACGAGGGGACATGAGAGGACATGAGGGGACACGAGGGGACATGAGGGACATGAGGGACATGAGGACACAAGGACACACGAGAGGACACACGAGAGGACACGAGGGGACATGAGAGGACATGAGAGGACACATGAGAGGACACGAGAGGACACACGAGAGGACACAAGGACACACAAGAGGACACACGAAGAGGACACGAGGGGACATGAGAGGACACGAGAGGACACACGAGAGGACACAAGGACACACGAGAGGACACACGAGAGGACACGAGGGGACATGAGAGGACACGAGAGGACACACGAGAGGACATGAGAGGACACGAGAGGACACGAGGGGACATGAGAGGACACACGAGAGGACACACGAGAGGACATGAGAGGACACACGAGAGGACACGAGGGGACATGAGGGGACATGAGAGGACACACGAGAGGACACGAGAGGACACGAGAGGACACGAGGGGACATGAGGGGACATGAGAGGACATGAGAGGACACACACGAGAGGACATACGAGAGGACACACGAGAGGACATACGAGAGAGGACATACGAGAGGACACACGAGAGGACATACGAGAGGACACACGAGAGGACACGAGGGGACACATGAGAGGACACAAGGACACACGAGAGGACACGAGGGGACACATGAGAGGACAAGAGAGGACACACGAGGGGACATGAGGGGATATGAGGGGACATGAGAGGACACATGAGAGGACACAAGGACACACGAGAGGACACACAAGAGGACACGAGGGGACATGAGAGGACACACGAGAGGACACGAGAGGACACATGTGAGGACACACGTGAGGACACACAGAGGACACAAGGACACACACAAGAGGACACACAAGAGGACACACACACAGGGACATGAGAGGACACGAGGGGACATGAGGACACGAGGACACACGAGAGGACATACGAGAGGACACAAGGGGACAAGAGAGGACACACAAGAGGACACACGAGAGGACACACAAGAGGACACACGAGAGGACACACGACGAGGACATGAGAGGACACACGAGAGGACACGAGAGGACACATGAGAGGACACAAGGGGACATGAGAGGACACACGAGAGGACACGAGAGGACACGAGGACACACGAGAGGACATACGAGAGGACACAAGGGGACAAGAGAGGACACACAAGAGGACACACGAGAGGACACACAGAGGACACACGAGAGGACACACGAGAGGACATGAGAGGACACACGAGAGGACACACGAGAGGACACATGAGAGGACACAAGGGGACATGAGAGGACACACGACGGAGGACACGAGAGGACACGAGGACACACGAGAGGACACAAGGGGACAAGAGAGGACACACAAGAGGACACACGAGAGGACACGAGGGACATGAGAGGACACGAGAGGACACGAGAGGACACGACACGAGGACACACGAGAGGACACACGAGAGGACACACGAGAGGACACACGAGAGGACACATGAGAGGACACACGAGAGGACACGAGGGGACACATGAGAGGACACAAGGACACACGAGAGGACACGAGGGGACACATGAGAGGACAAGAGAGGACACGAGGGGACATGAGGGGATATGAGGGGACATGAGAGGACACATGAGAGGACACAAGGACACACGAGAGGACACACAAGAGGACACGAGGGACATGAGAGGACACGAGGGGACATGAGAGGACACACAAGAGGACACACACACGGGGACACGAGAGGACACGAGGGGACATGAGAGGACACACGAGAGGACACGAGGACACACGAGAGGACACGAGAGGACACGAGGACACACGAGAGGACACACAAGAGGACACAAGACACACAAGAGGACACACAAGAGGACACACACACAGGGGACACGAGAGGACACGAGGGGACATGAGAGGACACGAGGACACACGAGAGGACACACGAGAGGACACAAGGGGACAAGAGAGGACACACGAGAGGACACACGAGAGGACACACAAGAGGACACACGAGAGGACACACGAGAGGACATGAGAGGACACACGAGAGGACACGAGAGGACACATGAGAGGACACAAGGGGACATGAGAGGACACACGAGAGGACACGAGAGGACACGAGGACACACGAGAGGACACGAGGGGACAAGAGAGGACACACAAGAGGACACACGAGAGGACACGAGGGGACATGAGAGGACACGAGAGGACACGAGAGGACACACGAGAGGACACACGAGAGGACACACGAGAGGACACACGAGAGGACACACGAGAGGACACACGAGAGGACACACGAGAGGACACGAGGGGACACGAGAGGACACGAGGGGACATGAGAGGACACGAGAGGACACGAGGACACACGAGAGGACACAAGGGGACAAGAGAGGACACACAAGAGGACACACGAGAGGACACGAGGGGACATGAGAGGACACACGAGAGGACATGAGAGGACACACGAGAGGACACATGAGAGGACACACGAGAGGACACACACACGGGGACACAAGAGGACACACAAGGACACACGAGAGGACACACAAGGACACATGAGAGGACACACGAGAGGACACACAAGGACACATGAGAGGACACACACACGGGGACACAAGAGGACACACAAACGGAGACACGAGAGGACACACACACGGAGACACGAGAGGACACACACACGGAGACACAAGAGGACACACACACGGAGACACGAGAGGACACACACACGGAGACACAAGAGGACACACACACGGAGACACGGGACGAGAACACAGGGAACACACAAACACACATTTTTTGATTTTTTGGTCACACAGAAAGTACACATGAAACCTGCCTCTTCTGTTTTGTATATATTGATACAGAACGAAAAGAGCATAGATGCCTAAACAAAGTTGTGGCAAAAGCCGGGCGTACACTGTGCGATTTTTGACCCTTTTTGAGCCGATTTTTCGCTCGTGCGACTGTTTTGGGGATCGGGCCGAGTTTTGGCTTCATCGTGTGTCGTGCGTCGTGTAGTTTACATGGGGTAAAGAGAACCGATTAATGGCTCACGACCAGCTCCCGATCGACATTCGTAGGTCGCAAGAAAATCAAACTTGTTTGAAATCCAGTCGCCTCTCGTGAGGATTTCGCTCTGTTGAAGTTCTTCCACGAGCCGATTAGCCAGAATCTGGCAGACTGCGCATGCGCGGACACAGAAGCGGAAGTAGGATATGAAGTTGTGGAGGACGATGGCGGGCCGGCGAGTGTTTTGGACAGTGGACATGGAGGCGCAGCTCATCGAGCTTTGGCAGACTCACCCAAGCCTCTTCGATGTGGCCTCACAAGGCTACCATGACCGCAACAGAAGAGAGAAAAGTTGGGAGGACATTGCCGCTCAGTTGCAGCTGCCAGGTAATGTTTTTGTATAGACTAGCAAAATAGAAATGTAGTTAATTCGTTGTTGTTGTTGGTTTGTGCATGCGTGTGTGTGACAGAAAGAGACAGAGGAGCGAGAGCGATTTTGTGTAATATATTGGCTCCAGTAATTCAGATATCACTACACTACCAAGCTAGAATTAGCCTGCATTGTGTGTGTATATGAGTCAATGAAACCAATAATATTCTTTTTAGCAAGCAGTACTTGCTAGTAGCAAATAAACAACATAAAGAACATGTTAATTGTATTTTTCAGTGAATGAGGTGAAAACCCGCATGCATGACATCACTGCGCACGCAGTACGGGAAACTTTTGAAACCCAAACCCAGCGGCAGTGGACAAAAACCTCTGACCTCCAAACAGACGTGGATTCTACAGCACTTGGATTTTTTGAAGGCCCATGTCATACACAGGCATACCGAGTCCACACTCAGAGTAAGTCCATAACCACGTTGTTGGAATAAATAAATAAAATATATATAAAATGTATAATAAATATTTATATTTAAGAAAATTAAATGCCACAGTTAATAATAATACATTTTTTTTAAAGCAGCCCTGAATTCAATGTAAATTATCCTAGTTATTATTATTATTAGATTATATAATATATTGTAGTCTAGATCAAAATCTGACCTAAACAACACTGTTAACAACTTTTGTGTAATCACTTTCTCCCTGTCTGCTTCCTTCCTGTGCTGTTTCTTACAGCTTGCTACAGAGTCAGAGGACACAGGCCCAATGGAAGAGGGAGATGAGGATCAATCAACTGTGGAAACTGAATCAGATGTCTTTACTTCTTCAGACACCGCCAGTCCGGTTTCTGTGACGCAGGAAGAAGAAAACGCCTCCAACAGTTCAACAGTCACACCGTCCACAGATCAGCCTGTCAAAAGACCCAAAGTGCAGAAAGTGAAGCCAAAATCCACAGAGCACAGCATTGAAATGGCCAAACTGTCCTTGCTTCAGCAGGTCCAGAACACACTTTCTGGATCTAATGCAGATTCTGAGGAGGTATTTGGTCAACAGGTAGCCTCAGAGTTGAGAAACATTAAGGACAGAGCTCTACAGTTGAGGCTCAGAAGAAACATAATGAACATTATTTATGACACACAGGAGGCAGAGCAGGCTGGTCATTCTCAATTTGCAGGTCCACATCCTACACCAGGTCCACAACCTAGGCCTTACACAACTACACCCATGTATCCCATGCACCCTTATCAGGCCCAGCCACCCTCCCAAGACTACCAGGCCCCATCAACCCAGCCAATGTCCTTTCTGAAAATGATAAACTCTGAGTAGCTGGGTACCTTAAAACCAAAATGTCCAACATTAGTATTTGGTCGGCTATTTCTCAGTTAACTTGTTCCTGCACAGGCTGAAAAGCTGTAGTTTCATTGCACCAAGTGCATATAAATTTAGTTTGACACAGTGTGTATGCTAAAGTGACTTTGCCATCTACCTCAATGCTGCAAGGTGGTACAGAATTGTTGGCACATTCTGTGAATCGAAAAAAATATTTTTTTATTTTCACAAAACAAGTCATTGTTGTGATGCCCCACAGAGGTAGATTTATTTATGCTAGTAATTACAAAGGGAATTATTTGTGTTATTTATTTCATACCTCAGTTTTTATACAAAAAGAAAAAATATTTAAGTATGTGTTACCAAGTTAGTGTTTCCAAAAATAAAGAAAAAAAGAACCTTTCTTTACATTTTGTGAATTTTCATTTCAAAATTCTCATAAACCAAAAAAATTCTTCACAGTAAGGAGAAATGAGGTTTGAATCCATCCATAGCCCCGTTGCTGGAAGTCAAAGAGTTCACACACAGTCCTCTGTTATCTCAAACAATAGGGCTACCGATTGATTCACATCAGATTTGTCTTAACTTTGGCCTACACCATGTGTTCTTGCCAAGATACACTTCCTGCAGGTGACACAAAGTACTGGCAAAGGACATCTCGTTGTTTCTTTGCTTCAACTGAAGGGTTCCTAGCTTGGCCCATGGAAACAGACTGAAGCCCTCCCTCCCTTCTCCATGCTCCTTCCATCAACTGATGATTGGCATCTTCGCAGTCTATGTAGCCAGGTGGTACATAGGCATCAGCGCTGTGGTGGCGGAGGAAGTTGTGCAAACAAAGACATGCAAAGAGGATAGTGACAACCTTGTCAGGATCCAGGCAAATTGTTGTTCTGAATACTCTGAATCGATTAGCAAGAATTCCAAAAGCATTTTCTACCACACGCCGTGCTCTTGAAAGACGGTAGTTGTAGATTCTCTGATTTTGGTTGAGATTGCGTAAAGGATATGGTTTCATTAGATCTGCTCGTAGGGGATAAGCTTCATCTCCAACCAACATATATGGCATCATGGCATCAGTGTGTGGCAAGGTATCAGCAGGGGGGAAGCTCAGCATGCCTGTGTCCATCGCATGTTTCAGGTCGGAATGGGCAAATACTCCAGCATCAGACACCCTTCCCTGTGTCCCAGCGCTGGCATACAAGAACTTGTAGTTGGCATCAACTACAGCCATAAGAATAATGGAAAACCTAGATTTGTAGTTGTGAAACATGCTTCCACTCTTGGCAGGGGGTTGAATGAATATGTGTTTCCCATCAATGGCTCCTAAGCAATGTGGAAAGTGCCACTTGTCCGCAAAGTCTTTAGCAACAGCCTTCCACTCAGAGATAGTCGATGGTGTCTGTGGAACACATGCAAAGGTGATACACAAAATTAATCTCAGGTGAATTAATGTTTTCCATTTCTTAACCACCCATTCAAAACTGTCACAGTTCACTTCACCTTTTATTTACACATTTCACAAAGACTGAATGAATACATCCAGAAATCAGAGAAATGTTTCTGTTGAAAATGTATTGCTTAATTAACTGATGGGACATTTTTAATAATGTTTGAGATAACAGCTATCACCCTGGCTTTGATCTGTTTGACCTGTTGCCCTCAGGGAGGTGCTACAGGGGCATTAGCACAAAGAGAAACAGGCCATGAAGTGAAATTTACCTTCAAGTAATCTTCCCGTAGTACAGAGGTTAGGGCTGTGCATGTTTCCATCACAATCCTGCTCACTGTGGTGCTTCCAATTCTATACTGAAAACTTAACGAGTTGAAGGTTTCACCTGCCAAAGTGAAAAGAGTGTCAAAGATGTTGATTTTCTCTTCTTATATACTTTAACTTCTTGGGTTCTTCTTAAAGACAATACAGTAAAGTGTATTTTCCTTGTTGACATGTTTCGGCTGCTTTAAAAAGAACCCAAGAAGTTAAAGGTGAAGAAAGTGTCTTTTAAATACTCTAACATAGATTTTGATAGTTAATGTATGGGGAGGTGGACAAAGATGGATGTTGATAGACTGACAGATTGTGACTGATGGATGGAGGAGAAAAGAATGTAGTAGTAGTAGTAGTATGAAAGTGATTTGACAGATGTGCAGTTAGAGGGTAAGTGCAACTGATATAGAAAAGGGAAGGTATGATGAAGTTACCGGGCTGTATGTAGTTCAGTGGGTGAACTGATCTACAAGCTTAAATAGATAGATGACTTTGCTTCATGTCCACCTCTCTATATTTTAATTGGGAATGTTACTGAAATGTAATTTACATGCACACACTTACCTGTTGCCAAAAATCGAAGGGTAACAGACAACCTCTCCCTGGGACTGATGGCCTTCCTGAGATGAGTATCTCTCTTGAGGATATGTGGAGTTACCCTCTCCAGGAGGTAATTGAAGTCGTGCACAGACATTCGGAGAAGGTCCCGAAAACCCATCATGTCATCTACCTATTAACACATAACACCCCATATGAATACAGCATTATAGATGTGGGATGCTATTGCCCACTGAATAGTCTGTAACTGATTGGTGGTGAAATCTTTTATGACTTAGACATAACACAGAACTGACACTGATACTTAACCAGTATTGTAGACCTGTAATGGACCTGGATGTCACCTTTGAGTAGAACTACCTCCCTCAAAAAATCCTTTTGTAGGTGTTCAAGCCAGCCACTACAATGCTACACTTGTACAAGTTACTTGGCTAGTTTTTACTGTGCTTAAAAATACCAAATCTAACAAGAACAGAGGTGTAATTAACACAGCTCTGTGTGTCTGACATTGATTCAATACTATGATAGCAAACAAAACTAGGTCACTTCTGAAGTTAGTTGTGATTGCCCGGACCATTGATGTCAACAACACAGAACAGTGTTGTTATAAGTTTGGTGAATAACTTGATGCTACTTACCTCCAGTTCCCTCTGAAGAACTGACAATCCATACTGCCCACGTCTGCCCAGCCATTTCTTGGACCAGACTCGTCGCTTCTTCTTTTTGGGCTTGTCTGAGCACAGAATGGCACAAATTGCCAAGGCAGCGCGTCTGTTTTTTCCGTGGCTCAGCATTGTGTCTCCGCCAATAGATCCATGGTCTCCGCACATCTGTGGTTTTCTAATTCCGTGGTTTTCTTCTTCGTGGTTTTCTACTTCCGGAACAACAACTTTGACAACTCCGGTCGTTATGTGAACGTACAGTGTGAGCAGGCAAGTCGCATCCGAGCATCGGTTCGTTCAGTGTGAGAACATGATTCGTGAGCTGTGAACTTTTAAACCCTGCGATTTGGTCGTACAGTTTAAGCTGGGGCTGAGTGACACGACCGAAAATATCGCACAGTGTACGTCCGGCCTAAGCCACATGTGTCCTGTGTCTGTGTGTGTGTGTGTGTGTCTGTGTGTGTGTGTGTGTGTGTGTGTCTGTGTGTGTGTGTGTGTGTGTGTGTGTGTGTGTGTCTGTGTGTGTGTGTCTGTGTGTGTGTGTGTGTGTGTGTGTGTGTCTGTGTGTGTGTCTGTGTGTGTGTGTGTCTGTGTGTGTGTGTGTGTGTGTGTGTCTGTGTGTGTGTGTGTGTGTGTGTGTGTCTGTGTGTGTGTGTGTGTGTGTGTGTGTGTGTGTGTGTGTCTGTGTGTGTGTGTGTGTGTGTGTGTGTGTCTGTGTGTGTGTGTGTGTGTGTCTGTGTGTGTGTGTGTGTCTGTGTGTGTGTGTGTGTGTGTGTGTGTGTGTGTGTGTGTGTGTGTGTGTGTGTGTGTGTGTGTGTGTGTCTGTGTGTGTGTGTGTGTGTGTGTGTGTGTCTGTGTGTGTGTGTCTGTGTGTGTGTCTGTGTGTGTGTGTGTGTGTGTCTGTGTGTGTGTGTGTGTGTGTGTGTGTGTCTGTGTGTGTGTGTGTGTGTGTCTGTGTGTGTGTGTGTGTGTGTGTCTGTGTGTGTGTGTGTGTGTCTGTGTGTGTGTGTGTCTGTGTGTGTGTGTGTGTGTGTCTGTGTGTGTGTGTGTGTGTGTGTTGTCTGTGTGTGTGTGTGTGTGTGTGTGTGTGTGTGTGTGTGTGTGTCTGTGTGTGTGTGTGTCTGTGTGTGTGTGTGTGTGTGTCTGTGTGTGTGTGTGTGTGTGTGTGTGTCTGTGTGTGCTGTGTGTGTGTGTGTCTGTGTGTGTGTGTGTGTGTGTGTGTGTCTGTGTGTGTGTGTGTGTCTGTGTGTGTGTGTGTGTGTGTGTGTGTGTGTGTGTGTGTCTGTGTGTGTGTGTGTGTGTGTGTGTGTGTGTGTGTGTGTGTGTGTGTGTTGTGTGTGTGTGTGTGTGTGTGTGTGTGTGTGTGTGTTGTGTGTGTGTGTGTGTGTGTGTGTGTCAGTCTGCCCCAGGGCAGCTGTAGCTACAGTAGAAGTTTATCAGCCCTGAAGCTGTGAAGCGTCTTTGAGCCAAATGTCTGGGAAAATTTAATTAAAACGATGTCAGATTTGTGGGACACTGTGTATTTGTCAAATTTATTTTCTTTATAAAAAAATCTGTGGTAAAAACCAAACAGCTGAAGCACCAAACTCGTTCGTTCTCAGGTCAGAGAAGTGAAAGTCGTTGGTGTGTGTTCACCTCTGCCCGCAGGCGCTGGCACCGGCGGCGGGCGATCATGCCCCTGGTGTGGGCCTGGAGGGTGACCACTGCGCGCACTCGTCTCCAGAACGCCTGCCTCACCAGGAAGCCCCGGCACCGCGCCTGGATCTGGGTCACGCGCAGCCGGGTCAAGCGGTAAGTGTGGAGGAAACGTCTGGACCTGCACACGGCCTGGAGACGCAGGAAACCCCTCCGCATCTGTGGAAACACATTTTGTCCCTTGAATCATCGTTTTGATCGTCTTATCAACATAGAAAAGTGGACAGGCTTTGTGCAAATGTTTTTTTATTGGAAACCAGAACAATTATCTGTGAGACGACTTTATGTTTCGATGTCTGAACCGAGTCACATCCCGATGACGTCATCACACGGAGCTGTTTGTTTATTTACATGATGCAGCAGAACGAACGACTTTTAGCAGAGAAAATAAGTCCAGCGGCAGAAATATCTGTTAAATAGTGAGACTGATACGAGCCGGTTTGGACCACAGTGAAAAGTGGAGTTTGTTTTGTAACATAAACACGTGGTGGTTGAACAGAGGCTGAAGTACCTTGTGGTAGTTCTTCTTACACCTGTAGCCCCTCCACAGAGTCTGGATCACTGTGGCCGCGTGACGTTTCTTCAGGAAGTTGGTTCTGCAGAAACAAAAACAGTTTTTCCAGTCCAGTCCAGTTCTATCTCTTCTGTACTACAATAAAAGTCTGGCCAAAATGTAAAATCTAAACACTTAAATCAATCAGAAAATGACTTAAAGTAGAGAAATGATGTGTCCATGCAGCGAGACCATTTTACTTCTACTATAAAATAAACGACCTCTAGACGAGAATGAAGCGTCTGTGTTCGTGGGATGGAAATAGGTTCATGGAGGCTCAGTTTGAGATAAACAGATTTAAAACCAGTTTAATCATCACTGTTCACGGCCCGATGATAAATCAGAGATTTTTGCAGTTTGTCCACGAGGGTCATTTTAAAGAGTTTCAAGTCAATATCAAATTTACAAAATCCAGTTTATACAGACACAGAGAACATGCAGACTCAGTTAGGCCCAGTTTTCAGATTCATTTGCTCATATATACATATATATATAAATGTTCTCCTCACCTTCCACAGTGGTTGGTCTCTCTCATTCAGCTCAGCTCCTCTACCACAGGCCTGGGAGCTTCAGAGTTCTTCAGTATCTTTGTTGTTCCTGTGCTGCACTTTTCTGGACTGAGATGTTCTGATGTTTTTCTAGTTTGGGCGTTTCAGCCCCGAGTGTCCGATCACCGCAGGCTCCACTGATGCCTTCACCTTCCAGACCTTCTCCAGCTCCTCGTTGAGCTCCTGGTGTTTCTCTAGTTTCTTCTGTTCCTTTTTCCTGATGTTCCATCTCTTGGTGTTGTGATGTTCCACCACAGCTCTGCTCTGTTTCTTCTCCACCACCACTATGTCTGGTTGGTCCATCACCATCCTGTCAGTCTGTATCTGAAGTCCCACAGGATCTTGGCTTGTTCCCAGCCTTTGGAGGTGTTTCCCACCTTGACCTTGGGGTCTCCAGCTCGTACTCTGCACAGATGTTTCTGTACACTCTGCCCGCCACTTGGTTATGTCGCTCCATGTTTGGAGCTGTCCAGGATGAAACATCCAAGCTCCTTGAGAACATCAAGGACAAGGCCCCGACAGATGAGGAGCTCAGAGAATGTCTCAGACAGTGGGGTCCAGAGGAAGAGGAGCTGGAGGGACCATCATGGACAAACCCCAACATGAACCACCAGAACAAAACTGAAGAGACTGATATCAAGAAATCCTCCCAATGTCTTGAGAGGGTCTGAAGGACACACAGAGGCTCATCCTGGAGCACAGGAGCAGGACCTGAGCAGCAGAGCAACAGAGGCCCAGATCTACAACACCAGACCAGATACCAGGGGCTCAAGGAGGAGCTGGAGAAGGTCTGGAAGGTGAAGGCATCAGTGGTGCCTGTGGTGATCGGACAGTCGGGGCTGTAACCTCCAAACTGGAAAAACAACAGAACATCTCACTCCAGAAAAGTGCAGAACAGGAACAGCAAAGATACTGAAGAACTCTCGAGGAGCCGAGCTGGACTTAGGAGAACAACCACTGAGGAAGGTGAGAAACACTTTTTTTGTTGTTATTGTAATATAATGTGACGTGTGAGCTACTTTGTCGAGTGTCCAGTCCTCCAGTCAGGTCGTGCAGTCAGGTCGTGCAGTCGGGTCGTGCAGTCGGGTCGTGCAGTCAGGTCGTGCAGTCGGTCGTGCAGTCGGGTCGTGCAGTACCTGGCTCGGTGTCTTCTCACAGACTTCTGGATGAGGATCACTTTGTCCGTGATGCTTTTGTCCCTCTCGATCTCCAGCTGCAAGTCGTGATGATCCTGCCACACATTTACGTCACACGTCACATGTCACACGTCACACGTCACACGTCACACGTCACACGTCACATGTCACACGTCACACGTCACACACACGTCACACGTCACACGTCACACACACTGTGCACATGGGACAGTCTGGTCCAACCTTCAGGAAAATCTTGGTCTTCCCGATCTGCCAGTCTCCATCTTTGCCCAGTCTGGCCACGACGATCTGCCTGCAGGTCCCTCTCAGGTCCTCCTGCACGGGCACACGGGCACACGGGCACACGGGGACACACAGGGACACACACACACAGACACACGGGGACACAGACACACAGACACACACAGACACACGGGCACACGGGGACACAGACACAGACACACGGGACACACGGGACACACAGCACACACGGGACACACGGGACACAGACACACGGGGACACACGGGACACACAGGGACACACAGACACACACACGGGGACACAGACACACGGGCACACAGGACACACAGACACATGTACAGGTGTGTTAGCACATCATGTCAAAACACTACCCAGGGTTTGTACCTGCACCTGTCTGTGTGGCACCTGCACCTGTCTGTGTGCACCTGCACCTGTCTGTGTGGCACCTGCACCTGTCTGTGTGGCACCTGCACCTGTCTGTGTGGCACCTGCACCTGTCTGTGTGGCACCTGCACCTGTCTGTGTGGCACCTGCACCTGTCTGTGTGGCACCTGCACCTGTATGTGTGGGGGTTTGACTCCGGGCATCAGGACCCTGTAGCGCTCCACAAACTCGGTGAAGGTGTATCTGATGGGGTATCCCGCCCGACGGATCCGAATCGTCTCCATCATCCCGGAATATCGGAGCTGACGGATGCACAGCTCCCTGTCGAACAACTGCACCACAAGAACACAAGGAAACTCAGACAGGCGGGTACAGGCGGGTACAGGTGTTAGGTGGGTACAGGTCGGTAATGGTGGGTATAGGTGTATACAGGTGGGTACAGGTTGATACAGGTGAGTACAGGCGGGGTACAGGCTGGTACAGGCTGGTACAGGTGGGTACAGGTGTTAGTGGGGCATAGGCGGATACAGGCTGTGGGCACAGGAGGGAACAGGTGGGTACAGGTTGATACAGTGGAGTACAGGTGGGCACAAGTGGGTACAGGCGGGTACAGGTGAGTGCAGATGTTAGGTGAGTACAGGTGGGCACAGGTGGGGTACAAGCGTGGTACAGGCTGGTACAGGTGGGTAGAGGTGTTAGTGGGGTACAGGCGGATACAGGTGGCAGTTGGGCACAGGTGGGTACAGGTGGGTAGAGGCGGGTACAGGTTGGCACAGGTGGGTACAGGTGTGAGGGGTACAGGCAGGTACAGGTGCATATAGATGGGTACAGGTGGGTACAGGTGGGTAGAGGCAGCGGGTGGGGTACAGGTGTGAGGTGGGTACAGATGATAGGTGGGTAGAGGTGGGTAGAGGTGAGTACAGGTGTTAGTGGGGCACAGGTGGGTAGAGGCGGTTGGCGGGTACAGATGGGCACAGGTGGGGTACAGGTGTTAGGCGGGTACAGGTGGGCACAGGTGTTAGATGGGTACAGGCAGGTAGAGGCGGCGGGTGGGTACAGGTTTAGGCGGGTACAGGGTACAGGTGTTAGGCGGGTACAGGTGGGTACAGGTGGGTACAGGTGGGCAGAGGCGGCGGGCGGTACCATGGGCTTCTTGTGCTCGTTGGGTTTGATGCAGCGGACGAAGAAAGGCTGGCACACGCTCAGAGTCCTCATCAACATCTCCAGGGAACGTTTGAACTGACTGCTCAGAGTCGGAGAACGTTTCCTCGTCTCCACGCCCTGCGACGCACAACAGACGCACAACTCAGACACACACAACACACAACAGACGAACTCACACAACTCAGCACAACAGATACACAACAGATACACACACAAACGACGATACACAACAGACGCACAACTCAAACACACAGATACACAACAGACGCACAACTCAAACACACAGAAACACAACAGACGCACAACTCAAACACACAGATACACAACAGACGCACAACAGACGCACAACTCAAACACACAGATACACAACAGACGCACAACAGACGCACAACACACACAAGATACACAACACCACACGATACACAACAGAGCACACACACTCAAACACACACTCACACACAACAAAGATACACAACACGCACAACACAACGCACAACAGACGCACAACTCAAACACACACCGAGATACACAACAGACGCACAACTCAAACACACACAAAGATACACAACAGACACAACAGACGCACAACTCAAACACACACAAAGATACACAACAGACGCACAACAGACGCACAACTCTACACAATACGCATACACACAATGATACACAATGATACTCAATGATACGCAACGATACACGATACCGAATGAATGATACACAATTATACAGGGTCACACACACCCCACACACACACACACACTCCAGAGACACACACACACTCCAGAGACACACACACACACTCCAGAGACACACACACTCCAGAGACACACAGATCACACTACACAACACACAACATTGAAGAACACTGTGCTGCATTTCAACATCACAATCTATTTGACACATGAGTCTAGACCAGGGGTGCCCACGAGTCCAGGTGCCCACGAGTCCAGGTGCCCACGAGGCAGGTCCAGGTGCCCACGAGTCCAGGTGCCCACGAGTCCAGGTGCCCACGAGTCAGGTCCAGGTGCCCACGAGTCCAGGTGCCAGGTCCAGGTGCCCACGAGTCCAGGTGCCCACGAGTCCCAGTCCACGAGTCCAGGTGCCCACGAGTCAAGGCGCCCACGAGTCAGGTCCAGGTACCCACGAGTCGAGGTGCCCACGAGGCAGGTCCAGGTGCCCACAAGTCCAGGTGCCCACGAGGCAGGTCCAGGTGCCACAAGTCAGGTCCAGGTGCCCACAAGTCAGGCCCAGGTGCCCACGAGTCCAGGTGCCCACGAGTCAGGTTTGCCCACGAGTGCCCACGAGTCAAGGTTCAGTTCGGGGGATCAGTGACAGTGATGTCGTTGAGGTATTAGTGGGAGAATTTCATAATTTCAGCAGAAAATCTGAGGGCCACATTTGGCCCCCGGGCCGCGGTTTGGACGCCCCTGATCTAGAGTCTAAACCTACTGCCCCAGCCGCTGAGCAAAGCACTGCTAAGGACAAACATGGGCTAAAACTAACGGCCAATGTTTACCTTAGGAGCAGGAGCACTGGGCTGATAACCACACAGAAACTGAACACAGAACGACAGAAGAAGAGAGAAAAGAGGAAGAAGAGAAGAAGAGGAGAGAGGGATAACAGAGAGAGTAAAGAGAGGGAGAGATAACAGAGTGAGCGGGCGTTAGTGATGCTTCGAGCGTCTAGAAAAGCTTTTTACATAAGACGCTTTATTAAAACATGATCTGGCAAAGCGTGATTCTAGTGAAGGTGTGTGGAGTTTAAAAACACGGTGGAGCACTTCCTGTATCGCCACATGATGACATCACGAGGTGGAACAGAGAAGAACTCGCGCCGTGTGACGAGGAAACCGCATCAGAACAGATTAGGGTCGTACAGCGGGTTTTGGTTTCAGTCTCACCATGGCCACGTCGGCCTGGAAGATCTGCTTGATGAACTTGTTCTTGGAGGAGTGGACGAGCTGGATGATGTCGGTGTGGAGGCTGTCGCGGTTCTTCTCCAGGAAACCTGAACACAACAACAACAACAACAACAACAACAACAACAACAACAACAACAACAAGAGGGAAGTCAAGTTTAAACATCCAATATCCTTCAGGTTTCTTCAGATACCTACAAGTTTTTTGACAAAACACAAAGAATGGAAGAACATTTTTGATCCCTCACTTGTGGAGGAGATGATTTTAAAACTACAACAGGGCAACAGACTTTCAAAAACAATAAGTGTCTTTTACAAACCATTTTCAAATTTGAATAATAATACTTTAAATATAAAGGAGAGATGGGAGGCTGTAGTCCTGGTTTAGTCCTGGTTTAGTCCTGGTTTAGTCCTGGTTTAGTCCTGGTTTAGTCCTGGTTTAGTCCTGGTTTAGTCCTGGTTTAGTCCTGGTTCAGTACTGGTTTAGTCCTGGTTTAGTTCCTGGTTTAGTCCTGGTTTAGTCCTGGTTTAGTCCTGGTTTAGTCCTGGTTTAGTCCTGGTTTAGTCCTGGTTCAGTCCCTGGTTTAGTCTGGTTAGTCCTGGTTTAGTCCTGGTTAGACCTGGTTCAGTCCTGGTTTAGACCTGGTTTAGTCTGGTTTAGTCCTGGTTTAGTCCTGGTTCAGTCCTGGTTTAGTCCTGGTTTAGTCCTGGTTTAGTCCTGGTTGGTTCTGTACCTTTGGTCTCGTAGTACACGACTCCGGCGAAGTGCTGGATCCCGAACTGTGTGTCGTAGTTGTTCTTTGGGGGGATGTAGTACGAGTTCTGTTTGTGCTGTGAGTTCAGTTTGTGGAGCATCGTCACGTCTGAGCCCTTTAAAAAAAACAACAAACCATAAAACTTTCTTCCGCTCATCTGGGGTCGGGTC